AAGTCTGCCACAAGTGGCGTCCGTGAGGTCCCTTAATATTACTATTCCTCCATTTAGTGTTGCCGACCCACAACTTTGGTTTATCAGACTCGAAAGTTACTTCGCAGTTAACCGTATTAGCTTACAACGCGACAAATTCGGCCATGCATGTGCATTGCTCCCGAACGAAGTAGCTGACGCGGTACGCGACGTTCTCGCCAAACCAGACTCAGAAGCTCCGTACGACGTATTGAAAGCGGCTGTGATAAAGGCTGTCTCGCTAAGCGACCAGCAGGCCTTAGACCGACTTCTCAACCAAGTCGAACTAGGTGACAGAACTCCATCACAGCTAAAAAATTATATGAGAAGCATAATCGGAGACAGGAAAATAGATAGTAGCATCTTTTATCAGCTGTGGCTCCGGCGACTTCCCCAAAATATTCAGCAGATCCTTGCATTCGGAGATGCTGATGTCGACATAGATCACATAGCAGAGATAGCCGATAGGATACAGGAAAGATCCAGAATACCGAGCCCACAAATACAACACACCTCGGCTAATTCCGAAATCGAAGAGTTACGAAAGGAGATTAACAATTTATCTCAAAAGCTTTCCGGGCTGTATCCGAACGAGAGACTGAAAAGACGATCGCGAAGTAGGTCACGTGATAAATATCGATCACGCTCACGGAGACGCACAGGACCTACAATATGCTGGTATCACCAGACTTATGGCAACCAAGCCAGAAAGTGCAGACCGCCATGCGGTTTCAAAATAATTCAACAGGGAAACGGTCCCGCCAGTTGCCGGTAACGGCTGCGACAGCTGGCGTAGCTCCCAAAAACAGTCGTCTATTTTACGTCCAGGACAAGACAACTGGCGCCCAATTCTTAGTCGACACAGGAGCAGAAATAAGTGTTGTGCCGCCCGTTAGTAATGAACGACGAAATGTTAATACGGCGCTTACTTTGAAAGCAGCAAACAAATCCGACATAAAAACATACGGAAAGCGAAAAATAACTTTAGATTTCGGTCGAAACATTTCACTTCGATGGGAATTTGTGATAGCAGACGTATCCGTACCTATAATCGGTATTGATTTCCTGAAGAATTTCGACTTATTAGTAGATTCGCGACGAAACCAGCTCTTGAACACAAACCGTACGGTAGTGATAAGTAGAAAAATCACTGATCATGAATCTATGAATTTAGTAGTGTCAGGAGACAAAAACGACCCATATAAATCGCTACTAAACGAATACGCCGACCTGACAAAAGTGTCTTACGATAATACCGATCTCAAACATACGGTGCAACATTATATTGCAACTAAAGGTGCACCTTGTAACGCGAGACCACGACGCCTGGACCCGAAAAGGTTAAACGTTGCGAAACAAGAATTTGACAAAATGATGAAACTTGGCATAATACGGCCATCTAGTAGCCCATGGGCATCTCCGTTACACATGGTACTAAAAAAGAACGGAGAGTACAGACCATGTGGAGATTACCGAGCACTCAATAAACAAACTGTGGCAGATAGATATCCAGTGCCACATATCCACGACATGACTAACAATATGGAAGGCGCCACTATCTTTTCGAAAATTGACCTCGTTAGGGCTTATTACCATATTCCCGTGGCGCATGAGGATATACCGAAAACGGCTGTAATCACTCCATTCGGATTATTCGAATTTTTGCGAATGCCGTTCGGATTAACTAATGCCGCACAAACCTTCCAGAGATTCATCGACCAGGTTGTTAGAGGTTTGTCAGGCGTATATGTGTACATCGACGATATACTTGTAGCTAGTGCTACACCGGAACAACATCTACAACAACTAAGACAGTTGTTCAATAAACTTCAAGAACACGGTATTGCCATCAACGTTAAGAAATGTGAATTTGGTAAGAAATCACTGCAATTTCTAGGACACATAATAAATTCTCAAGGTATCACACCAGTCCCATCAGAAGTTGCAGCTATTCGTGACTATCCGTTGCCCGAAACAAAGAAGAAATTACGACGATTTCTCGGACTAATTAACTACTATAGACGATTCATTCCGAACTGCGCGGCAATATTGCAACCGTTAACAGACGCTTTGCGTGGACGTGCCCGGACATTTCACTTGTCACCCGACGCCGTAGAGGCATTCGAGAACGCTAAACGCGTGCTAAATGAAAAGACAATATTGGTACGACGAAAAAACGAAGCTCCATTAGCCGTCATGACTGACGCGTCGAACATCGCTGTTGGAGCCGTGTTACAGCAGTTCGTAAACGACACATGGGAACCGATTTCATTCTTTTCTAAAAGATTAAGTCCCACGCAAACGAGATACAGCACGTTCGGAAGAGAACTGCTTGCAATTTATTTGACAATAAAGCACTTTCGACATATGCTTGAGGGTACCATTTTTACAGTGTACACAGATCATAAACCCCTCACGAAAGCGTTAAACGCCAAGCACGACAATTATTCGCCGAGGGAAATTCGACAATTGGAGTTTATTTCCCAATTTACTTCTGACATACAATATATTAAAGGTCATGCTAACGAAGTAGCAGATGCATTATCAAGAACGATGATTAACGCTCTCATCCAAACCGACATCGATTATCATAAACTAGCAGCGTTGCAAAATATGGACGTAGAGCTAAATAGACTAAGATCATCCAATACAACTTCTTTAGTATTCCGAGAAACTCCGTTCGGCAAAGTGAACATAATCTGTGATATTTCTACAGGCAGACCACGACCGTTTATTCCGAAGCCATTTAGACGAAAAGTTTTCGAAACTATGCATAATATATCACATCCTGGAATTAAGGCAACGATCAGTCTGATCAGCGACCGTTTCGTATGGCCAAATATGAACCGAGATGTTCGCAACTGGACACAGGCATGTATTAAATGCCAGAAAGTTAAAGTTCATCGTCACACAAGTTCCGCAGTAGGTCCATTCCGTCACCCAGACAGCCGATTCGAGCACATACATATCGATATTGTGGGACCACTGCCAATTTCGAATGGCTTCAGTTATATTTTTACCTGCATAGACAGATTCACACGATGGCCTGTAGCGGTGCCCATAAAAGATATTTCAGCAGAGACCATAGCTAAAACCTTAGTCGAACATTGGATCTCATACTATGGAGTCCCTGCTCATATCACAACCGATAGAGGAGCCCAATTTGAAAGTCGCCTCTTTCAACAACTCACAGAGCTCCTCGGCATTAAACGTATACGCACAACCTCCTACCACCCGATGGCAAATGGTATGGTAGAGAGATTACATCGACAACTGAAAGCATCTCTTACAGCTGTTATTAACAACAATGACTGGGCCAACAAGCTTCCATTAGTCATGTTGAGTTTAAGATCGACGGTTAAAAGAGACATAGGATGTTGCCCTGCAGAGTTAGTTTACGGAACTACCTTACGTCTACCAGGAGAGTTGTTCATCTCAGGTAAGATTGTTCCAACTGATCTAACTAACTACGTACGTCGTCTAAAAGACCACATGAGCGGTCTAAGAATAACGCTTCCGCAGGAGAATCAACATCGAGTATATATTCCGAAGCAACTAGGCGATACCTCCTATGTATTTATCAGGAGAGATTTTGTGCGACGTCCCTTACAACCAACCTACGATGGTCCATTCAAAGTTATCGACAGAACCGATAAAACTATCACCGTAGATAAAGCTGGAAAAACGGATGTAGTTAGCATCGACAGAGTCAAACCAGCTTTCGTCGAAGGCGAAGAACAGCCAATAAACGCAAACCCATCGAAAGCCATTGAATCACCGAAATGCGAGCTTAAACCCTCTGAAGCAGCAACACAGAAAACAGAAGGAAACCCACCAACGACCAGATATGGACGAAGAGTCAGGTGGCCGCAAAGATATATAGCTACATTTTTGAACTGATAATTCTTCTCACCATTTCGAACACATTTTTTTTGCGTCGCATTTGTACGTCGAAAATTCTCATTTATCTATTATTGCCTTCGATACATTTAGTGTATTTCGAAATTGAGATGTTAGCCTTAAAACATTACTATGCTTTTGTTTGATCTTCTATTCCTTTGCGACCTCACGAACGTATGCGAATAGAGTAACTTTAACTTCCGAAACTTTTGATGTTTTCCGACAATTTTGATTTTTTTTTCTCGCAAACAAAGACATTTTCGTAACCTTGTTTGCTGGAAGGGGGCTATTGTAGTGCCTCCACATATATTTCACTTCTCTCACATCTAACTTGGTTAAGCCTTTCGATTAATTTATTTAACCAAGCCATTCGCTTAGCAACAACTTGTATGTACAATTGGTATTTTTTATTATCTGGTTTGTATGAGCTAGTATGACTGAGCATTGCTTAACGCCTACGCATATATGCATCCTATTCGCTTTAATATTAATCTCTTAAATACCACGATGACTCAGACATTTTCCTTTGTATATATACGAACATTTTTATCTTATTAATTCATTCGCACATTCGTATATTCACTCGCTAGTCTGTCTGCCCGGTCTGTCTGTGGTCTGCTATTATTAATTGTGGTGTGCTTCAATAAACGTATACGCTACTCGGAATTCATCTTCTGATTTATTAACCGTCAGACGTCAATTGGATAAGGTAGTCTGAACGAGCTCATTACGAAACGTAGGAACACGCATTAAGCCGGCACACCTCATGCTCACTCCGAGTTTCAAACACAGCACCATTCGCTCAAAACTCCACTGAGTTACCTATCTAGGTACTGTACCCATTGCATAAGCAAGTGAATATCTGGGTTCAATAGTAAATAGATTACGCAACGACATTTGAAGGGAATAGTAGTGAATTCCGGTTGCATAGTGAACATCAACTCTGTTACGCAGGTAGATTCAGCTGACGAGTCCCTAATAAAACGAAACGCACCTCGTGAACTCCACGATTAAATAAGATACACCTCTGATAATAATTTCATCTTTTGTTATGAATTTGTAATTTGTAACAACACAGAAGCTCATCTAAGATTAACAATATCAAGTTCTTTTTGTTTTTCAACCAAATCTACATTCTAACAAATTATACATACAATGATAAAAAGTGACATATATTCATATCATTTATGTCAATTAGCTACTGATTCCAGGCAGTCGGTTTCTTTAGCGCTTAGTTGAAGAATAATTCCTGTGTATTCGTTGTCTGAATCTTCCCAGTGATGTTTAGGTGTGAACATCAATTCAGAGATGCGGGTACATCCAAAACTTATGAGTTATACCTAAGAGGAAACATTTTTTTCATGCCACTGTTAGCCAGTATCCACTTCTACTAATAATCCTTTCAAATGAAAAGCAATATCGAGGCACTTAGAACAGGAGACCGATCATTTCCAGTCCCAAACTTCAGTGGGAATATTCAAACAACCGATATGAAACAATTACTTGTACTATTTACTGTGCAAGTAACTGGGTTTTGAGTAAATAGTATCTATTAAGATAAATTTATACAACGGAATGAAAAATCTGCTGTATCATTTCTTAGTTAGTTATTTAATAATGAGATAAAATTATTTTATGGATTGTATGAATTGTATCTTGATGTATAATATACTTGACAGAATGATGATATATAATAATGATAAATATTTTAACCATTGATGCCTCAATCTATTATTATTCTTATTCAGATGTAAAGAATCGTTTGTTTGTTTTTTTAAAGCTTTTCTTCTCAAACTTGACACATTTCATTTTGTTTTATAAAGATTTTATTTGAACACAAAACGCTGAATATATGAGATATCAAAAGACAGTCACGCAAAATAAGCTGAAATTTCGTTGAAGATAAGGACAAAAAAGAGGAAACTGAAATATATTAATACTGGGAATAAGAATGTCAGTAGTTATTCCCAGTAGATTCAGATTAGTAAGATGAGTACATTAAAAAAACAATAAAGTTTTGGGTCTGTTAATGATGACACTTTCAACGAATAAACATGTGTGTATGATAGCAAAAACAGGTGAACCTCAGTACTAATAAAATTAAATTGTAATTAGTTACTGATAACAACAAAGAGAGAGAGAAAAGATGATTAAAAATAAACTACTTTCAATCATTCTTATTTTGAAAAAGTCACGTTTTTATGGGTTTGTGAATGAAACTTGCCCACAAGAGCATATCGAACCTAATATATCATTCAGTTTTTTAGTTTATATGAGGTTATTATAAACCTCTCTGAACCTGATTACTCAGTCACTCACACAAATATGTAAAATTCATATTTTTGCGTTATCGTTAGTGGTCAGATCAACAAAAATGAGAGTTTCTGTCAATTATATTGAGGCACATACTGTAGTTAATTACTAATGTTGATGACTTAATAATCAGTTGAAATTTGAGTGGCTATATGGAATTAACTACATAGCCAGACAGTCTAAGTTACATATTTAAGTTGGGAAAACCTGTGCTGACTAACAAATTCATATTTTTTTCACTCTCCTTATAGGAACTTTTAAAAGTGATAAACTTTTTTTCATGTTCATTACTGATAGAGAAAAGCGAGGACGATTGGTTGTAAGCCCTTTAATGCATAAAAGTTTAATCTTTAAGGGAAATTCTTGATATTAGAATGTTATGAAACCCTTATAAGATATATCTAAGTAGCTAAAAACTCTGAGCTATCGATTGATTTATGTAAACTGAATGTACTGTCAATAAATTATTTTGTTAAGTGGAGAGTAGCACTTCAAATGTATTCATAGATGATGGGCTTTGCTATTTGAAGTTGAGGATATGAACCGACTGATATTAATTGAACAGTCAAAATATTATCAAAGAATGATATAATTGGGTTAGATCATTAGGAAAACTGTTTGCTTCACATTGGTACTAGAGTCTCAAACTACCAATAAATAATTTATTTCTATGTAAGTCGTCCAAGTTAACGATCAAGGAACAAAATGATATGAATAAAATAGAATAAAATAAAATGAGTTTCAATTACAATCAACACAAACATTGTAGAATCAATCTACTTACCTTATTCAATGTTCTCCAATTTCGATATTTGGCTGGTATTTTCACTAAACAAAATCGATCTAATGTAATCAAAAACACTGTATATTGACTTGTTAAACAAGCTGAAAAATCTAATGATAACCATAAATCACAAATTAAATGTCCTAATGGCCAATAACCAAGTAATTGATAAGTAATGAATAAATTCATCGAAAATAAACCAATCAATACATCAGTCATAGCTAATGAAGCAATAAAATAATTACTTGGTACACGTAGAGAACGTTCAACAAAAAATGCTATCAATACAACAATATTACCACCGAGTGTAGCAGTCGATACAGCAGTTGCTAATAATGCTATGATACTTGTTGTGATTGGTGGAAAAATACTAGTGAATGTGTAATTCATTAGCTGGATTACAAATTATGTTTATTTATATATATAGATATATATAGATAGAGATATTTGATCTTTGGGAAGTAATGATAATGGTTGGCCTTGAAGTGATAAAATTTCCCGGTTATATATTCAAAATCAGCGATTCATGCTATAGCAGCTGTAAGTAAAAACAAAAGATGAATAGAAATGATAAGTGTAAAAAAAGTTGAACACGTTTATTACTTGCAATAAATAGAAATTTAGAATAATGTGGCAAGAAAAAGAAAGATTATCAGCATGGTGCTTTTTTTTGTAAGTGCACATTTTACATTTTGAACGATCGGATTACACATTTTCAAGTTGAGAATATTTACACATGTGAAACTCATCAACTTACTTACTTACTTATGCCTGTTACCCCCCCTATTGAGCATAGGCCGCCCAACAGTTTTCGCCAGTCAACTCTGTCCAGAGCTTCCCTTTCCAGTTCTTTCCAGTTTTCGTTCATTCTTCTCATATCTTTCTCTATTTCTCGGATTAATGTGTTCCTTGGCCTTTCTCTTTTCCTTTTATCGTCAGGGTTCCATGTGAGGGCTTGTCTCGTGACGCAGTTAGTTGCTTTTCGTAGTGTGCGTCCTATCCATTTTCATCGCTTCTTCTTGATTTCCTCCTCCGACAGTACGTTGTTGCTGATGGTGTCTGGCCAACGAATCCGAAGTATTTTGCGTAGACAATTGTTAATAAACACATGTATCTTATGGATGATAGCTTTGGTAGTTCTCCATGTTTCCGCTGCATACAGTAGAACTAACTGTCTTGACATTTGTATTGAAAATCGTGATTTTGATGTTGATTGATATTTGTTTGGAGTTCCAGATATTTTTCAACTGTAGAAATGCAGCCCTTGCTTTGCCAATCCGCCCCCCACATCTGCATCGGATCCACCTTGGTTGTCGATAATGCTGCCCAGATATGTAAAGGTGTTAACGTCCTCCAAGGAATCTCCATCAAGCGTGATTTGATTGGTGCATGTTTTGTTGCATCGGAGAATTTCGGAAACTCACCAAGATGGTTAGTAAATCAATGTTTACATGGTCGGTTTAATGTGAGAACGAAATTTATTTGAATACATAGTCGGTAGTTAGAATTTTTTTCGCATGTACAAGGCTTTAATAAAATTTAGTTAATAACATAGAAAACCTTCGTGCTATGTGCTTTGAAGAATAGGACGATGGATGTCTATTATTTGGGTCATTCGAATTCGTACACATAGAGAGACCTTAACATGAAAATCACGACTACCTGCGCGTAGCCACAAATAGGCGGAAATTAATAAACATAATGGGATAAGATGCAATTGCATGCAGGTCTTTTTGGGTTTTAGTGAAACATATACCAATGATAGGAACTTATGCTGCGTTGTTCACTTTACTTAAAACTGATCCAAGCCTTTGATTCAGTACGAGGATATTAGAATCACCTTTAATTGATAGTACAGTTTAGACAAAGTTTTTTGACGCCAAAAGCGTTATAGATCTCACCATACTTTAAAGATTCCTTGGAATAATGGATTTTAGAGAATTACAGTTCTCCATCATTTTTGTTTGTTAAACTCATCTCATCTTCAATAATATCCAAGATGGGTCTCTGTAAATTATTATGACATAAATTCTGATTTTAATCAAATTTCTAAGACTTAACGTTTACAACGATAATTCAGTTTGAAGACTACATCATAGGTTGGCTTTAGCTAAATAACTATAGATGAACCACCAAACACAAAAAAAACTATTTCATCCGAGTTCAGGGTCTTTCAAGAAAACACACTTAAGACCCTGTCTACTATAGGATCTGTAAACGTCTTAAATTATATAGTGAGCAAAATTTTTCGAGAACTAAAATTGGGTCGCAAATATTTAATAAATGCTTTTCATTGTGGTTTATTTCAGTGACCAATGTTTGTAAAACATCTTTAAATGAGTTAGTTCCAAATAATAGAAAAAATATATATAAATAACTCATTTAAAACCCTTAAAACACCTAATTCTTGAAAGCCTATGCATATTTTTTATGAGTTTAAAGCAGCTAGAACAATCTTACATTTAAAAACGGCATATTTTTTAAAAGTTTAATGTTAGACTCATGTTAGTTTGTAGAGTAGTTTAAAAGAAAAAAATAATAATAAAAAATATCTGATAAAACAAGCAAATGACGAAACATTCTACTGAAAATGTTCGCTATTCATACAACTCAATCAAAGAAAATATATTTTTCTTCTAAAAAAAACCTTTATAACAAAAACAAACTTCCTTACAATAATCGGTTGTAATTTTTTTTTAATATTAGCCAAATCTTAGAAAAGTAATTTATTCATTCAAATCTGATGAAAATTATGTTAAAGTTTAAAGTAGTGTAAATATATTTTTCTGTGCAACAGAACAAACCAGATTTCAGTGGAGGAAGAAATCAAGAAAAGTCGCTGCATGTGGATAGGAAATATATTACGGAAAGCACCTAACTGCGTCATAAGACTAAGAAAAAAAGGAAGACGCCGAGAAACGGAGACAGACATGAGAAGAATGAGCAAAAATTGGACAAAACTAGAAAGGGAAGCCTAGGAGAGAGTAAGTTGGAGAATGCTGTTCGGCGGCCTATGTTCTATCAGGAGTAACAGGCGTAAATAAGTGAGTAAACACGTTTTACGTTCAATTTCTAAAGAATATTTAAGTAATACAAATAAATTTTTAGAGTGCTTCGATTAAAAACCCACATCAATTTATTGACTAGTTAACCTTATACTAGGATTGAATAAAAAGTGCAAACGAATAAGTACAATCTATAAGATAGAAAGTAATACTTTTAAAAAATTACCAAGTTAACGATTATTCAGATATAAAAATGCCATTTTTTATAGAAAACTAGATAGTAAGCATTATGAAATATTATTGCAAACATTGTTTTGAGAAAACAATTTATGCGCCAGAATATTTCGAAGAGGGAACGACACAATTTAATTAGTAACAAAGAAAGTAAATGCTGATACATGAAATCGTGTCTTGTAAGCTTGCGGGCTTCACTTTCAGCGACTTGGTGATCTTGACTACATTATATAAGTTTAAGTTGAAAATCAATCAAAGATAACAAGCGGTTAGTGTGTTTTGTGAATATGCGGCAGAAAATTTAAACATATTTGCGGTAGGCACAAATTTGTAACACATGGTAATTCACATGTACTAAATACATGGGAACTCAGTGTTTAGTTTCATTTAAATTCCTTATGATCCCGCTTGGTTATGTGTGGGGAAAATTACAGTTTTTATGAGGTCGAAATTCTTTTAATCCGATATATGGAATTCGGTTTCAGTAAACTAATCCTATATATATATATATATATATATATGTATATATATATATATATATATATATATATATATGTATATATATATATATATATATATATAAAGGCTAATGACTAGCTTCCTGAGGGAATAGACTCACAGAGTTCTAGACGTGGCCAGTGGAGTTCAACCCTGTCGTGAGTAGGCAATAACTACCGAAATCAAATGTGTGAGGTCATTCAAAATCACTAGATTGATCAGAGCTAGATATTACCAACATTGGGTGCCGACCCAGTGGTGCAGAGGTTAGGAATTCGCGTGGGGGAGACCGAAGGTCTTGGGTTTGAATCCAGCAGGAGGAGTGGATGTGCAATACCAAGAATCCTTTACAAGAAAGAAACGGTGCATCCAGGTTCAATCCTATGTAGACTTTTCAAGCGTGAAGTTTGAATGCTCAACATGGGTAATGTTTTTATTTTCTACAGTAGAATATTCAAGCAATTCCTTTCGATGGTTGGTCACTTTTCTCTTTTTTTTCTGATACCTAACATTGAAATCTAAATTCCTGAAATTGTTACGCATTTAAATTTCACTTTCGAAATATTTTATGCTAATCTTGAAATCCCACAAGAATTGAATTTTCACTGAAGTGATTCTATTTAAAAAAATACGTCACTGAAACACCCAGTTAATCAAAGGGAAATGCAAATCAACTAGGTATTTAGTGACGTAATAATTCTTAGATGACTTCATAACATTTTTCTAAAATTTTTCTTATTACCCTATATCGATTATAAATTTCCGACTGATTAAATCGGCCAATCAGACCACATCCAGATTTGAATACTGATATTGTTTGCAATTTTTAAAATTTTAATAGTCAATCTATTTCATCCTTAATTATTCTTTACAGTTAAAGCATAATTTTAGTCTTTTCGTTTAAATGAATAGCTCAAAGTTTTTTTTCTAAGTGTACTACACTTTTTCAGTTCATTCAGAATCATTCCAAAAAGACATAATATTCGTGCAAACTATGTAGCTGTAAGTCTTTAAAACTAGCCTTACGGGTTCTTAAAAATTTGCTTCCTTCCACAGTTGCAAATCAAGCAAGAATGGCCAAACAACATCAGCAACAACCTACTGTGGGTGATAACAAACCAGATCCCAGTGGAGGAAGAAATCGGGAAGAAGCGTTGGAAGTGGATAGGACACACAATGAGGAAAGTACCAAACTATATCGCAAAAGAAGCCCTTACTTGAAACCCTCAAGGTCAGAGGAAAAGAGGAAGGTCAACAAATACAATTCACCGAGAATCGGAAACAGACATGAGAAGAATGAACAAAAATTGGATAGAACTGAAAACGGAAACCCAGGAGAAAGCAGGTTGGAGATTACTGGTCCATGCTTCACCGGGGGTAACAGGTGAAATTAAGTAAGAGTGATAAACGTAGTCAGATAGTCAATAGGTGTGTGATGACTGATAAACATGACAAAGACAACCAATCATGTTTGTGTAGTTACCAAAATAATTGACGTTACCTAAATGTTTGCGCTAATGACGCAATGCAGAATGGTAATGAAATCTGTACAATTAAACCATATCTACGTCAGAGTAAATCAAATCACAATATGTCATGTATTTTATTATAACCTAATACTTACTTTAAAAAATGAGTATCTAAGACGTGAAT